TATTATTTTTAATAATGTGTTTAATGTCCTCACTCAATGATTTAACTTCAGTGGGATCAAGTCTCAGTAACGTGCAGGTTTTATAAATACGATATGATAAATCTGAAAAGCCTTCAGCCAGAACCCACATCAGCAGCGCCCTCTGCTGCCTTCTTCAGTCCCCAGCCATCGTTGGCCCAGCGTTCGGCAGTGTTGCGGTCGTTGGTGATGAAGAAGTTGTCGAAGAAGATGTCCGAGGTCATGGACCAGAGCTCGAGTCCAACGGCGTTGAACGGAGACATCCTGAACGGGTGCAGGTCCTCAAAGAACGCAGGGTTGGGGATCTTCCTCGGCTTCCAGACGCCCTGAGAGCATCAAGAGTCAGAGGTCAGGATCAGACAAACACAGACTCCGGCGGGCGATCACAGAGAAACGGTTCTTTATAAAGTGATGATGTAGATTCTCAGTTCAAACTGCGTCTGAATGTGGGAGGGGTTTATAAACTCACCTGGTAGTTGGGGTTGTCAATCATTGGGGGCTTCCACTTGCCCTTGTAGCTGGGGTTGTCAATCATCGGACGTTTCCAGGCGCCACAGCCAGGGGCTGTCTCACAGGCGGAGTTAGGGATCTGAGGAGCCTCCCATTCACCGTCCATGTCCTCGTCCCTGACGGACAGGAAATACACAGACTGTTACCAGAATGTACACAGAGAACAACAATGTCTGAGCACGAACATGCGAGTGCATGAACGTACCAGTCTTCAGGTTTGACAGCTTCAGGATCTCCGATGTACTCCGGCTCGTCGTCCAACCAGCCGTCTGGTTTCACTGCTTCTTCATCTGGAATCTGAGCGGGAGCGTCCTCGTCCCTGCACACATTCAGAAAACACACCCAGGATGTAGTGACGGTACGAACCAACAAGAGAACTGATCCGTTAAATCTGTTGGTCTTCATTTAAATGATTGTCAAATGATAATCTGAAGAAATAAACAACTTAAGATCATTTGATGGTGAACCATTAAATCACCCATGAATTCAAATATGTGGTGCACGTGACACCACACACAAAGTACGACAACCAACTTCAGAAATCTACTGAGACAACACTGACAGCAGGGTTTCCATGGTAACCAAAGTCATGTACTGACCAGTCCTCGGGCTTGACTGCGTCTGGGTCCTGGATCTTGGGCCTCTCATCCCAGTCGTCAGGTTTGTGGTCGTCCGGGTCCTCGATTTCGGCGAGAGGGTTCACAGGGGGGGTCACATCTGTCAGCAGGCTGCCGCTGTTCACGACCGTCTGATCGACCAGAACCTCGAAGGTGTTGTCAGGGTTCAACACTGAGAGAGGGGGCACAGGGAGCAGTTACACACCTGGACTGTCCAGTCAGTGTGTGTGTGTGTGTGTGTGTCAAACCTACCCAGTGTGTACAGATGTGTCTTTTTGTCGGTATAGTACGTCCTCAGGTCAGAGTCTGGTTTCTTAGCGTGTTTCTCTTCGTACTCTCCAGTTTTGGGGTTTTTGTGTCTGAAGATGAAGTGAAGTTTGTAATCTTCTCCACATTTGTCAGGTCCAAACATGATGGTGTACGGAGTTTTATCCACAAACTGGTCCTGCAGACACACAAACAAATTACATTATAATTGCTACATTAAAAAGGTTTAACAGTTAAAAGTTGTTGAGAGAAACCGTGTGTGTGTGTGTGTGTGTGTGTGTGTGTGTGTGTGTGTGTAACTGACCAGGTCGAGCTCAGGAGTCTGAGTTAGCAGTTTGACGTAGGCGCCACCACAATCAATCCCTGCCTGGAAGTTCACCTCGTACCTGAACACAGAGAAACGGTGTCAGAAACAGGACCAAGAGAAAACACGTGACGGATCAACACCATGTTGAGTTTGTGCGTCTGTTCTTACTGGATGATGAGGGGCTGGGTATCGAAGGTGAAAGGTCGCAGCAGCTGGGCTGAGATGGCGTGATGTTTGGCTCTGGACTTCAGTACAAGACCTTTGTCACCAGGCAGTTTACTATCCTTCATCTCCTCTACCTCCCATTTACCTGTTAAAACATCAACACCATTCACCTGTCAACTACAGAATCATTCATCTGTACAAAGACGCTATTTCCTGAATCAAGCTCACAAAATAAAAGACTCAGACGTGATTTAATAAAACAGAAAAAGACTTTAAATAATATTAAATTTACATTTTCTATTTCATCATGTGGGAAAAGATGTTCAATACAATGTGTTCATTACTAAAATCCTGCTTTTATTTATCTGAGGATTTTCTGCTTTATACCAAATTTATTCTGTGGGAAACATTGAGGATCTATGTGATGTCTAAGTAAATCTCAACCCACCATCATATTTTGCGATCTCTTCATCGGTGTCGTCCTTCTTGGCTATGGACAGAACCCAGCTGAAACAGACACACACTTCATTTACCAACACACCTGAAGGTCTCACACCTACATGTGAAAATGTTTTTATTGCTCCAAACTTGTGTTTCACGCTCTTGTCAGTGTTCTGCCTTAGATTGGTTCAGTAGTCTGTGTCATCCTGTGAACTAACAAACAGCTGAAACCACAGGTAACCTAACAGCTAATTCAACTAATCATCAGCTATGACCATGTGCTCACCCATCAAGTGTCCCTCTGTCAAAAGACTCCGCGAAGAAATGTTCCCCCATCGGCTCAGGAGCTTTGTAGGTCACCTGGACACAAAGAGGTGAGAAGGAGTTACAGCAGCTGAACCGTGCAGGTCAGTTTACTGCTCCATTATCAAAACCACTTCCTGTTTCAGATGGTTAATCAGTGACAGGCTGAGTCCACATTTTTAAACCGCCTGATGCACCAAGTGAAAGTGTTTCGTCTCTGCAGAGACTCAATCAGATACACAGTTCACTTTGAAGACACAAACTCTCTGATTTACATATAACATTAGTATGATACTGATTTTTATAACAGATCAATTATGAATCTTTAATATTATGTAATATCACATCATCAACCTGCAGACACTACGTCTCAACTGTCCAGTCGTCTCGTCTTACCTTCGGTGCAGGAGGAGTTGTCGGAGCAGTTGGAGCTTCATCCAGAATGTCTCCTTCCAGCTCCTCCTCGTCAGCTCCGGCCAAACCTAGATCCAGCTCGTCCTCGACGTCCACATCGTCATCCAGACTGTCCTCAACCAGGTGCTCAGCCTGAGATACGGGGGCCAAACTGAGGCAGAGGAGGCCTGCCGCCAGAAGAACTAATAACCCAATCCTCTGATCCATAGTCTGCAGAGAGGAAGAGAGGGTGAACTCATCAGCTGTTCACGTGCTGTTTCATCCAAAGTTCATCTTTAACCCTTTTGTCAGTGACCAAAGTTGTAAATAAAGATTCAGGATGTCATCAACAACTACGAGCCAGAAACAGACTGTAAACAAAGACGGACGATATGACGGCTCCAAACTGAAGTCAAATCATCTTGATCGCCCCCTGGTGGCTGGCTGAAGTGTGGGTCATAAACCCTCCCTCCTCCATGTTAGTAGATGGGACATGGACCAAACTTAAAAAAACGAATTCAAAGTAGACGTTAAATAAATGTTTGTCAAAGATCAGTTTGGTTTGAGTTAATTTGATGATATAAAAACAGGCGGAGACGTCATGATTGACAGATGAGACATGATTGACAGCTGAGACTGACTCCTGATTGGTCGAGTGCGGACGGCGTCACTCTACAATCACTACAGCACAGACTGTCTCCAGATGACATCATCACCACAAGATGGCAACATTTGTATCGGAGATATTTTGGTTTATTTTGAACAGCGGGAGGAAGTGGAGACGTGTCGTCCTCTTAGGCTGTTTCACACAGTCACTAAGATTTGGTGTAAATCTGTGTTTGAAGTGCATGAATGAAAGGTTTAATCTCTACGTGTATTTTTCTGGCTACAATTGTCAACACACACACACACACACACACACACACACACACACACACACACACACACACACACACACACACACACACACACACACACACACACACACNACACACACACACACACACACACACACACACACGTTGACCTGTGTGTCCCTGGCATCCATCCAACACCATGGTGACCAACCAGCACCCATAGGACAAGCAAACAGCTTAATGAGATTAGGCCTCAGAGATTACTGCAGCACCCCACAACTCACACACAGCAGAGCATGGACAGTGACACCAACACTGAGGCGTCTCTGGAGACGGCAGGTTACTTATTTTACACACAGGTTCAGATTTAGTGTAAAAAAACACTTCCTGTGTTTACAGGTTAATTAAGAAGACAGTTTAACAGAAACAATGATTGTGTGTTTGTGGATACAGCAGCACAATAACAGCTACAGGTTCGTTTTAAACTCTTTTTCTCCATTAAAACGAAGTCAGTAGTAATGTGTCCCACACGGTTTCATCTAATCATTTATCACAGAGGAAGAAGAAGCGTCAAATTAACAAAGTTCATCTGCAATGTTTTATTTTAAATTTAAAAATTCTTCAATGTCAGTAATTGAGTTTCTGAATCATTTCACCAGGACTGGTTTTAAAATTCACAGCAAGTGATTGCTCTCCTGTGATTGGTTCAAACAAAGGACCTGATGCTTCAGTTCTCGGGTCTCACACAGCAGACTGTCAGGATAATCAGATTACCCTGCAGCAGGATTAGCATGCCTGGCTAACTGCAGTGCAGTTTATTGATGAGCGTGTAGCCGTTAGCTTAGCATCACAGCAATCAACCCGGCGCCCACATGGCGTTTAAAGTTTTAATCTGCAGAGCCACGTGGGGACAAGACAAACATCGCTGAAACAGCCAATTAATTAATCAAAATCAAATACTTTGACAATCAATCATTAGTCTATAGTTTCATTTAAAGCATTTTCTTGAACTGACCCATTGTAGTTAATCTATAAAAAGAGGAGAAAACAGTTATTGATCTATTTTCAGTGGTTGATGATTTTTCCTTTCTTTTTTTAAAATAAACGTAGAGATCCTTCAGATCGGACTGTGACAGGCCTTTCTTACCCTTTGAGTGAAACCAGGACAATTAAGTGACATCCAGTCAGAGGCTGGAGTCTGTTAATCTGCCTGCAGACCATCTGATTCACTGTCTGATAACCACATGGATTCACAGAGCTTCCTGAAGAACGACTACTGCGTCACCACACAAGGATTCAAATTAACACGATGCTGCAGTTTCTTCATTTTACATCTATGAAACGTCTTGAACATTAAATAAATCCAAGTTAATATCATCTAATTTCTTGTTTTGACAGACAGTTTGGACTTTTGGACCAATCACAGGAAGTGAAGACACATTAAACCATAGAAGAAGAGGATTCATCTGCAGTCTTCACCTCCGACAATGTTTGAAACACAAGGATGTTCATCTGGTGCATTTGAACTAGTGTGGAGTAGTGTGGAGTACTGGAGTACTGTGGAGTACTGTAGTACTGTGGAGTACTGTAGCACTGTGGAGTACTGGAGTACTGTGGAGTACTGTAGTACTGTGGAGTACTGTAGCACTGTGGAGTACTGGAGTACTGTGGAGTACTGTAGAGTACTGTAGAGTACTGTAGAGTACTGTAGAGTACTGTAGTACTGTAGAGTACTGTAGTACTGTGGAGTACTGTAGTACTGTAGCACTGCACCTGAAGGTGCTGATGGTAGTAATACCATCATGATGTTACCATAGGAACCAAATGAAGCGCATCATTCATTTCCTCCAGACACACAAAGACTGCCCTCCCCCCACACACATGAACTGATCAGCGAGCAGACAGGACGAGCAGGTTACTATTTAAACTGAAACAAACAGTGAGGTCACGTTTCTCTGTGTGAGGAGAGAAATATAAACACAGATTCACTAACTGTTCCTTTATCTCTTCACTGTGAAATAACTCATCAGTCGAAAAAGCAATGGAGCATCTGGTTCATCGTATGAACACAGCTCTGATAATTCAAACAGAGTGAGACGTCTTACTGTTTTTCTTCATGTCACTTTAAATATATGTGAAGCTCACACTTTATATTTTTGAGCATTGAGGCTCATAAAACTACAGATGAACTCTTCTCCAGAGTTATTTCACCAGGTCTGATCAAGAATATTTAAATCAAGAAATTAATTATTTTTTGTCATGTGACCACAGCATCGAACTGGGTTTTTAATTGATGTATTTGAAAAAGTTAACTATGTGAGGATTGAATATATTAGCAACAACAGTCGCTGAGCTGGTTCCTCTCTGAATGACTTCAGGTCACATGGATCCAGACGGGTGGCGGTCCCACACGACGCCCGACATCTTAACACGGACCAGCAGGTTGAACTGGTCGTTCTGCTGCCACACGTCACCTGAGAGACTGGATCTCAGCATCAGGGCACGATCAGCCACGATTTAAGGGTGCGTGTTGAACATACAGTTGTGCTACACAAGCATGTTTACTGTCGTGGAGTCAATATAAATGCTGACTGCTGGTTGGGCAACACCTCTGACACACTGACCAACCAAGGGAAAATTGATCTCACAGCCAGTTTCACACTTTTTAAAAGAAATGTGGCGTCCAACCTGGACAATGTTTGGACATTGTAGCCAAACAGTGATACCGTATCCAGATCGAATGATCTCCATGTGATCAGAGGCGTCTCCTTCTCACTTTAAGGGTTCGAGCTTTGGCCAAGAAAATAAAGTCAGTGCACGGTAAGAAGCTGATTCTAAAAGTGTCACAGGAGAGAAACACTGATGAGAACTGAAAAGATCAATTGACCAGTAGAGCTGACGTCACTTGCTCTCATCTGATGTAAAGATCTGCAGCTCATCCACAGTTTGATGCTTCTAAATACATATTTTTCAGTGAAGTGGATTATTCACTGAGACCCTGTAAAGCTACAAACTGAACATGACTGCGGTTCAATGAATCCTGGCCTCTGACCTCAGAACCTCTAGAAACTTCAGATTTTTCTCAGCTGTTAGATTTGATCATGAAGTCAAAGTGACTGAAAGATGGAGTGAAGCAATATGCATCAATCTAGAATCTGAGAACTAGTAACAGACACATATCAGCTATTAAAAGAACATTGTATATCGGTCACAGAGTAAATTAATGATTAACTGGTGTCATATCCTCAACATTTAATACGTCCAGATCCATAATGTAACTTTGTCGTCTGCTGCGTTCACCACAGCCTAACCCCACCAACCTACTGCATCAGTTTAAATTAGATTTTATGAGAAAAAAGCCTCTTGTTGGGATGGAATTAATTTAAGATTCTATTAAACAACAACTAAACTACCACGATTTAACCTGAAACAATAAATTCCCTTTACAGCTTCTGAATTAGAATATCTAACAAATGTGAAAACTATCCTACATTATGTACCTGTTTCAACACCTCATTGAACAATGATGTTTGACACAAGCTGAGTATAATAATAAAGATGAATGAAGAATTGAATTACAGGATAAAACTGGGGAAGCTGATTTATTCTGAATGAATTAAATTAAGGTTTAATATAAGAAGTAATGAAAGAGAAACCCTGGACTGTGGAGGACGTCCATCACTACGTGACATAATGAAAAGCTGCAGACCTGCTTTAAGATCGATTTAAGACTTTCACCTGTTTTTAACATAAAAACTGTGAATTCCATTGGAGGCTGAAGCTGTAGAGACAGAAACATGTGGAGAATGTGGACAGATCCACTTTATGTGTGAGGATCCAGAGGTGGGCAGCTGAGTCCTGTCTCCTCCATCAGGGGACATGTTTAAAAAGCTTGGTCTTCACTCAACAGCTCGTTAATCTCTTAAAAGTGACAACAACCTCCAGACTCTGCACACTGCTAGCTTAGCTTCGCCTAGCTTAGCTGCGATGCTATTACGAAACGACAGAAAGTGACGGCGCAGAGAGCAGAGAGCTCCGGCTCGTCCTCGGGACTCGGTTCAGTGTCTGAGGCTCCCGCGAGGACAGTCTCGTGTTGGACGGGTTCGTCCATTACATGTGAGCAGAGGCCGGGGAAGCTAACAGGCTAGCTGCCTTCACCTGAGCTTAATTAGCCTCCGTTAGCTTCAGTTAGCCTCTCGCACACGGAGCTGAACGTTAAACACTAAACACGGATTCGATGAGAACAATCAAAGTCAACAGACAGAACCAGACAACAGCGTCTCCCGCGGGCCGGGCTCTGGGCCGCTGTCCCCGGGAGAACGTCACATCGGTCGGGCAGCTTCACTCACCTCCGGCTCTGGGTCTGACCGCCTGGGAACTGAGCGGCGCGGTCACATGGAAGGGACAGGGCGACGTCCCCCGCCGCTGATTGGTCAGCGGGGGAGCGCGTCTGACGTTTCCTGTCAACTGTCAGCAGCTGATTGGACGAAGACAGATCTCAGCCGAAGCGGATAGAGCCCGCCCCTTCCAACTGAACCTCGTGGACAGCGATGATTGGTCGATGCGTCGGGGGGGTTGTTGAGCGCTGATTGGCTGTAGTGAGGCTGATGAAAACAGGTCAGATGTGATTGGCTGTGAGAAAGATTGATGATGACACTCATTTGAATGTACTTGTACTTAGACAGGTTGTAATGCAGTACATTTGGAGTACGTTTACCCAAGTAAATACAAATATGTGTATTACATTTGAGTATTTCAGTTTCTCATCAAGTCGCAGAGAATCACGTGTACTCTTCTGCACACGTTTAAAGATTTGTAGCTTCAGATGACCTTCAATGCTAGATTTTACATACACAACCAACATGAATAAAATAGATAGTTACAAGACTAAACTTGTAATAAGACTCATTAACAGCTGCACCAAATACCAATACTCTCTCTTACACTTCATTTAAAAACCTTTTCCTGGCTGTAAGAAGAAAAACTCTTTTTTCAGGAAACTGAGGGTCGGAGCTCACATCTACTGTTTGTACAGTAAATACATTTTTACATTATTATTACACTTTAGTTTGTTCCACTCTTCCTCCATTGAATAATCTGTAGCATCAGCTCAATGTATATAACTATAACTATAAATAATACTATATAAACATAATACTGAAGCATTATTGTAAAACAAGTCACAGACATGTTACCATTGTGCACTCAGTTGGAATCAGTTCTACCATCTGACTTCTTTCACTGAAATAAATCAAGTGATATGTGACAAATAATCATCAGTAGATTCTGAAGTTAAATCATCAGAAACATGTGACTTTAATATAAATGTAAATATTCCAAATAGATTGTGAGTAACTGAGGGACAAGTGTTGCTGTCCTAACAGTATAATTTACTATATAATAATGAGGCGAGGCTCATTTTATTGCAGAACAAGTATTTTTACTTTGGATACTTTAATATGCATACGCTTTCGCTTTAAATTGAGAGTTTTATGGAGTATTACTTAGTACTAGAGTAATTATTTCCTCAAGTAAAATATGTGATTACTTCTTCTATCCATTGTATTGTGTCTCGATAAGGTTTCACTGTTTCCATTTCCTGTCACCTCAGTGTTTTCATGTGTGAGAGGAAATAAATCCATCTTCCTGTCTGAGGTGAAGATGACTTCCTCCTTCACAGAGTCTTCATCAGCCTCTGACCTCTCATCTGTTTCCAGCTGAGCGAACAAACACACCCGTCATCTCAATTTCAGTCTTTATTAACAATTCACAGATCAGATAGAAGTTTGAGATCATTTAAATAGAGTTTATCTAAAGGATACAAAAGACAAACACAGGATTATAGCAATGCATTCCAGTGCATCTTTCAAAGAAAAGAGGTTTCCTGAAGCTCAGACAAACTCACTTCATAGTTCTGCTCGGCCTGTTTTCCATCTGAGCCCCGTGTGGAGGAATGAATGAAGAGCGGCTGGGACGAGAGGGTGAGCTGCAGCGGAGTCTGAACAAAGTTTTCATGGAATAAAAAAATAAATCACTTCCTCAAATGAACCATTTTGTTCCTGTAAATAACTTCGATGAGTTAAATGTATAAATCATTATTATTGATCTCCAACACGTCAATGAGACTGAAGGAGGAAAATATGTGAATCAGTGTTCCCGCAGCAGACTGCAAAACTACAGTACAGGAAAGTACACCAGAGTACTGTAGAGTACATCAGAGCACTGTAGAATACATTAACGTACATTGGAGTACTGTGAAATACAGTAGAGTACAGCGATGTACTGTAGAATATTGAAAAGCAGAGTTGAGTACAGTAGCATAGAGTACAGTCGAGTACAGTACAGTAGGAAGTACAGTAGAGTACAACAGACTACAGTAGTGTCAAGTAGATAGTACAGTAGAGTGGAATACAGTACTGCAGAATAGAGAACAAGAGTGCAGTAAAGAAGAGTAGAGCAGAGTACAGTAGAATACAATGAAGTACAGTAGAGAACAGTACAGTAGAGTGGAGTAGAGTACAGTTGAGAGAGTAGAGTACAATAGAGTGCAGTTCAAAACAGAGTAGAGTAAAGTACAGTAGAGTGCAGTACAGTAGAGTAAAGAAGAGTAGAGCACAGTAAAGAGTACAGTATAGAGTAGAGAACAGTTGAGAGAGTAGAGTACAATAGAGTGCAGTACAGTATAGAGTAGAGTAAAGTAGAGTACAGTATAGAGTAGAGTACAGTATAGAGTAGAGTACAGTATAGAGTAGAGTAAAGTATAGAGTAGAGTACAGTAGGGTACAGAGTACAGTACAGTACAGAGTACAGTACAGTACAGTACAGAGTACAGTAGAGTAGAGTAGAGTAGAAAGGTACAGAGCAGTCGTCAGTGACAAGGCCTGAGTTAAAATAAAAAGAGACTTCGTATCAAAGCGAATCATCGTCTGTCGTCGTCAGTAGTTTGAAGTCACATGATTTGAGGGGCCGAGGATTCTGGGTAATCAGTCATGACAGTCCGGGGCTGCTCTTCGTCTTTAAGGCAAATCGCTCACGATGGAGGGAAAACGAAACCCGAGCAACTAGAGACGCACATCGACACACGGAGAGGTCACATGAGAGCGTGGACAGTGGACAGTTCTATGCAGATATGCACATACGTGTTCACTGGGGAGAGGGGGGGGGGGCTTTGACATTGGAAGCAGCAGTTTCATCATCATTCATTGTCTCCATGACAACCAGTGTTTAACATTTACCTTGTATGTATGTACACATAAATACATCAGGATTAATTACAGCTTCATCTGAGAGGATCATCCTCATCTTCCTCACCCGCATCATTATCTTCATCATCCTCATCATTATCATCATCATCTTCATCATCCTCATCATTATCACCACCATTATCATCTTCATCATCATCATCATCCTCATCATCATCACTATTATCATCATCATCATCAATATCCTCTTGATCTTCATCATCATCCTCATCATTATCATCATCATCTTCATCACCCGCATCATTATCACCACCATTATCAGCTTCATCATCATCATCATCATTATCATCATTATCATCATCATCTTCATCACCCGCATCATTATCACCACCATTATCATCTTCATCATCATCATTATCACCACCATTATCAGCTTCATCCTCATCATCATCACTATTATCATCATCCTCATCATCAATATCCTCTTGATCTTCATCACCACCATTATCAGCTTCATCATCATCATCATCATCATCATCATCATCATCATCATCATCACTATTATCATCATCATCATCATTATCCTCTTGATCTTCATCACCACCATTATCATCTTCATCATCCTCATCATTATCCTCTTGATCTTCATCTTCATCATCTTCATCATTGTCAGCCTGTCTGTGTGTTTTCAGTGTTTTCAGTCTCTGATCCGTTCAGCCCTGCGATGATGAGGTGTGGCCAGACGGCGGCGCTGTGGCACCATGGTGGGGATCCGGCGTGCAGGACGTCAGCTGACGAGTCTCCGTCAGTTCATCTGAACATGGCGGTGCTGAGGTATCACAGAGGGGGGAGGGGCTTCACTCTGCTTTCTTTATAAAGATCTGAAGAAGAAGAGAAGAAACACTGACGATGGTCTTTAAATAAGTCACTGATCATCTTTATATATATATCTGTGTTCTGACCTCACTGAGGATCACCCAGACCGGAGAGTCCGTCACCACAGAGAGACGCATGGCCTCCAGGGGCCCGAATGTGGGGTCCACCTCCCCCTCTGCGATCCCGTTCTGGAACGTTCCTGGAACACATGAAGATCAGGTGGATGAAGATGATGTTCTCACACTAATTGTTTATGTGATCTCAGTTTGTTTCATTTTCTCTGTGGAGCCTGAATCATTCTGTGAAATCTTGAAAATCCTCACGAACCTTCAGCCTCTCATGTTTATTTTTCATGTATTGATTTTGAGTAATTAAGGGTTTAGATGTTTTTCTGGTTGTAAAAGGTTCCATTATCCAGAGTCCATTAACTGACCCTGTGGTTGTGTGATGGTTTTGTGTTACTGTTGTGTACGTCTCCATCTGGTGCAACAATAATGCCTCAGTAGGATTATTGTTGTGTCTGTGGTGCTTTCAGGTACGAGTGTGTGCGTAATCCCAACAAAGAGCAGTGTGTGTGTGTGTGTTATGGTTCAACAGGGTATTATCTGTTATTATTGTGAGTATTATGGGTCTTATTCAATATCCAGCAACGTGTACGACTGTTTGAGCTTTTTCTCAGAGACGAGATCACACAGAGACGGACGAGCACGGAAATAAAAAACTAGAGAAAATACTTTTTCTTTCAAGTGTTATTTCCATTTAAACTCCAGATGATTATCTAAGGTCAAAGGTCAACGAAACATCATGACGTCACTTCAAATTCAGAAGATGATGTCATCTGGTGTGGAAACGTACAGAAAGCAAACAAACGCTGTGTCTCATTTAAAACACGACGGTTCAAACATCCCATAATTATTAAAATTAAAATAAAAGAGTCAGAGATGAATTTCCTGATTTTAACCTTGAACTTTTCAAGCTTCTGCGTGAAGGTTGATGAGGAGTTTGTGGGACCTGATGTTGAATTTAAGACTTTTACAGGATAAAGTGGTTCTTCATGTTTTCCAGCACAGCGACGGATGTGGAAGAAAAAGAAAACCACGACTCTGCAGCGCTAACGTTCTTTCTGTTCTCTGACGTCCTTCCTCACATGTTTAGTCCTGAATCCCTCAGACGGTCAATCGTGTCTTAAGTGTCTTACTCAGGAGCTTCTCTGCAGGTGCAGGACGTCTGAAGGTAGCAAGAAATTAAGCGAAGGACAGAAACCGCATCGATCCACAGACTCGTCTGGAAAATTGATGAAAGGATAAAAGAGCTGCTGGTAATTTATGAAGTCAGGTCCGAGTCTTGTGAACCTGCTCTGCTCTCGTCTCTTCATCTCAGAAAACCATGAGATGATGTTTCAGTTTGTTTGGATTCAGAGGAAAGAGAGAACCAGAGTAACAGAGAGGAAGAACAGGAAGAAGAGAAACGAACAGAAGGTGAAGTCACAGTGTTTTTTAATTAATTCAAAGAGGCTGTGTTTGAAAGATGAACACGGCCTCTTCTACATGTATGACTTCTCTTTCTCATCCCGAGAAATGTGCCTGTGTGTGTGTGTGTGTGTGTGTGTGTGTGTGTGTGTGTGTGTGTGTGTGTTTAAATGATAAAACTCCTCCAGTAGAAAACAAAGTTTAATTAAAGTATATATTCAATACAGTGATTTACTTCTGATGAGTAAAACCACCAGCAGACTGAAGGGGTCTCACCTATTCTGATAAATCCGTCTTCTGTCCGGTGATACTTTGGTGTTTTCTCCCTCCCGTCTGTCAAGGCCTCTTTGTCTGCCTGAATATTCTGGAAAACACACAACGACACACAAACACACAATGTTTAACACGTTTGAACAAACTCAGGACTCGTTCACACCTGGTTTGTTTCAGACTCTGAAGCTGAACTTCAGGTGTGAACGGTTCCTCAGACCAGAAGAGGAGTTCTGGGTCTGGATCAACCTGAACCTGGTTCTGTTGGTTCAGTGAAAACACTTTGTTGGACAGTTTGGACTTTTGGACCAATCACAGGAAGTAGTACTGTGGAGTACTGTAGTACTGTGGAGTACTGTAGTGATGTGGAGTACTGTAGTGATGTGGAGTACTGTAGTACTGTGGAGTACTGTAGT